CAGTTTGGCTCAAAATATTGCAATGCACACAACATTATGGCTGACATACCAGAGATCAAAAGAGGACAAATTGTTGGTGCACATCTTGCTGGTGCATCTGTGACCAAGACAGCAAGTCTTCGTGATGTATGAAGAGCCACGGTATCCAGAGTAATGTCAGCGTACCACCAAGAAGGACCAACCACATCCAACAGGATTAACTGTGGACGCAAGACGAAGCTCTCTGAAAGGGATGTTATGGTCTAAAACCAGGTGTTTCACTTTCATTGTCTAACCCCTGAAGGTGCCAAGCAAACAATTCAATTAATTAAATAAATCTGATCTGTTTTCTCCTTTATTAAAATGAACTATACTCCGAAGACAAGAGGAATCCTCAAGTCATTGGAAATGTAACTCTCAAAGAGGGAGATGAGCTGAATCTGACCTGCACTGCTGATAGTGTCCCTCCATCGATCATCATCTGGGCCAAGCATCCTGCGAGAGGAATCAGCCTCCACAACACCAGATCGGCCACACTGGTCATTTCAAATGTGACAGCAGAAGATTCTGGACGGTACATCTGCACAGCTGAATACCTGGACGAGAAAGTGGCTATACATGCCGATGTACAAGTACAGTGTGCGTGAAACTTCCGGGACACAGAAAATCCAAACTCAAGCTACGTTTGAAGCTCATCTTGTGTTTGTTGTGATTCGTGTGTGYTTACAGGGTTTTCAAAGATCCTAAATGGTTCTGGGTGTGTTCTTCAATCTGAGGTCCTGACCTGTGTGTGTCTCAGTGAGGGCGTTCCTTTACCCACCATTAAATGGCCTCTGCTGAAGGACCACACTGGGTACTCTGTCATTACCACAGTGTCAAACAACACAGTGAACAGCACCRTTTCACTAACCGCAGAAAATTATGACAACGTCAGCGTTGAATGTGTTAGCAGCAGTGAAAATGAGGAAGCAAAGGAAAACCTCACTGTAAAAAACAGCACGGGAACAAACAAAGGTACATTTTCATTTCACAGCTTTACTGTTTGTTACTTCTTCTGTTACTGTGGCCGCTGTGGTCAGATGGGAAAATGTAAAGCCCATTTCCTTTTACTAAACTTGTTATGACCTGCTGTGAAAGGTTTCTATTTTCTCTCCTGACAGWTGATGAATCCACAAATATGGGAACAGTAGTTCCCAGGCTGGAAGTCATCATTGCCTTTTTGATTGGAGTTCTGCTTTCTGCTGTCGTTTGTTGTCTGCTTAAAAAATGCAAGAGGTAGAGCGTTATAATTATCACATCTCTAAAGGCTTTGTTTAATTTTAATGTCTATACGTAATTTTTAACTTGTTACTTTATAAATGCACATTTCTGCAGGACGAAACAGAAAAAATCTGAAAATGTGGGTGAGAACCTGAAGATGATAAACTCTCAAGATCCATTGGTAATTATCTGCATTATTTAAAATGTTGTTTTCTTCCCTAAAATATTGGAACAAATCTTTTTTTTTCCTACTAGCTCTAGTGCACAGGACAAACCCTTCTCTTAGAACAGGTGTTGGTCTTGTTGCTCAGTTTTGATTTGAACCTATTTGGTAACAATGTTTTTCACATTCTGGAAATCCCCGTGGTTCAACATGTTGCTTTGTTGAGTTAGCATTGCAGGGGTACAAATGGGAAGTTATCAGAACAATCTAATAGTTTCACACATTATAACATATTCCCAGTTAATCTTCAGCAAGGAAATCAATGTTTAACACTTAATGATCATACACTGTTAGTTAGATACAGCAAGAAAGAATAAAACGTATGTCTGTGGTTGTTATTAGTGAGCATCAGCAAGTTGCTAAGGTCAAGCTTTAAAGAATGATCAGCACTTCCCTTTTTGCTTCTTTGCAGTGTACTTACAGAGACTCCAGCTGTAATTACACTAAAAAAACAGATGTAGTGGATTTACTTTAAAAAATATGTTGACTCTTTCAACTCACCTGAAGGATTTATTTTACATTTACTTAAAATAAACAGTAAAAAGTGAAAGCAGTTGACATCATTTTTTTTAAATAAATCCACAACATCTGTTTTTTGTTTTTTTTTTGAGTGTAGAATTGATAGAAAAGTGTAACTAAGCCAAAAAAATACCGTGTTCAGTTTATGGTCTGTGCTGTTTCAACTGCTGCTATTTTTTWAACTCAGCATATCTATGAATGTCAAGCAATCGACGACAAAGACCACAAAGGAACTGAGACKGGAGCTGCGGCTGCAGAGAAAGTAATTCCTGAACCCAACGCTGGTCCAAATGACGTGGAGTATGCCAACATTGATTTCTCCAAGTTGAAGAGAAGCGGTTCCAGGAAGGCAGCAAAGGAGCTGGAGAACACAAACACAGAWTATGCAGAAATAAAGACCCGGGGAAAAAAGGAAACACACGTCAACGGAGAGGTTACGATGTTGGAGGGTAAGGAGGAGGAGCTGGTGATGAACACGGAGGAGGAAATCAAAGATTTAGATGAGCGGGGAGAAGAAGCGGAGGCAGTTTACTCCACTGTGAAGGAGGCGATGGATGAAATCTGAGCCGTAGAAAACTGCCTCCGTTAATCAAGCTGTAAAAAATGAGCTCTGGCACTTTTAATAGTTCCTGTTACACAATTTCCACAAWTGGAAAAAAAAATCCAGCCTGTTGTGAACTGAAATGAAGGATCCGCTTCACACATCTACTGTATGTATGTTATGACTTCATTCAGAATTTTAGATTTGTGAGTTTTTACACTTTCATGGGACAAGAAAGATCCACCAGCCACATTTTATACAGCTTCCCAAAGAGCAGTCTTGTATAAAGTATCTCAAAGTCACACTTGAGTACAGTATCTTACTATAAAATTACATTGGTAAAAATTAAAGTCTCCTCTAAGAATATTACTTGAGTAAAAGTCTTAGAGTATCTAATATTTTTTTCTTTATACTTAAGTATCAAAAGTAAGTTTCTGACATAAAATGTACTTAACAAGAATGGGTAGCACTAAGCTAAAAATTAGTTCCACTAGCCCTAAAACACTAACTCAGATAGTTAGGTCCCCTAATTCTAAAGCACTATGCAATGAACATTTTAGCCAAAGCTAATTCTAAAGCGCTAAAATAACCCAGTCAACCTCTTGTTGTCTTCAAAAGACAACATGAGTCACATTTTGCCATGTTGCTCTCTTCAGACTTATCATTGACATTCCTCAGCTGTATTTGGGTTCATATATTTTCAATATGTTGTCACCTGGTGCAGTGGTTCCCAAACTTTTTTGACTTGTGTACCCCCGAGCCATTTTGTCATACCACTAGTACCCCTTCAGTTAAACGTAATGATGATTCTCCAAAACTACAATTAAACTATGATTTTTAAATGAAAATTTATTTAACCCCCAGAAAGTTTAATTCTCAGGCATTTTATTCTTTTAAACATAAAGATAAGAACATTGCCTTGAAAGTGAATAAGTAAGCAAATAAATACACCAGGTATAGGCAGGTGCAAAAAACAGCAGCATCCAAAATACATTGTATTGTCCAAAATACGTCAGAAACTCACCCAAATGAGCATATTCTGTGAGATTCCGCATTTTATACAGGATTCCATTTTGTGTTAATTCYGTGATTCCGTWAGCATTTTCCACATTGTGGAAATCATAGGGCCCTACATTTCTCAGCCCTATTTTTATTTTTATTTTTTATACACCWGGGAAATATTTCCACGTACCCCCTGTAATATGTTCGCATACCCCAAGGGATACACSWACCCCTGGTTGGGAATCACTGAGCTAGTGAWAAGTGACACACATATGARCAAAATGTGTGGCAGCTTTCACYGTCAGCTGTTTAAATTAACCTTKATGAATAACATTTATAGAYCTCAGTWAGTGCTTCTAAATTTAGCTTCTAAATTTAGCAAGTGCTAATCCACTAATAAGTTTTAAAATGAGCAAAAGCTTCAAAGCACTAATCAGGAAATTAGTTCCCCTATTAGTGCTTTAGTGCTTTAGGGGAACTGTGCCCACCACTGGTACTTACGTATTGAAAATAAAACTATTGAGTAAAAGTAAGCAGTTAGATTTTTCAAAATAACTCAGGAGGTAAACTTCCCTAAAAAAACGTTTTTTTTTTCTAAAAGCCAAARTATATGTCTATAATGTCAAATTAAATATAGGATGCACCCCTTGCATAGTGACTGCTGGATATGACACCAGTGACCCCTGTGACCCTGAAAGGACAAAGCGGGTAAAAGATGATGGATGGATGATGGATAGTCAACCTGTTTCAGTGCATCTTACCTGTTTTAAAATGTAAGGAGTATAAATAAAACGTAGGCTGAAAGGTAAAGTAAAGTACAGATAACCAAAATTTCTACTTCAATACAGTATTTGTACTTACTTTACAACTTTGCCAAGGAGAAGATGCACATTTTTGTTATAATATTGTATTTATGTGCTTTAAGATTGTGTAATACTGATAAATGAATGTTTAATATGTATTCAATGTAATGTCGTGCATAATACTTTTAATATATTTAATAAAAATGAAGTGCCATTTCAAAGTGTACTAAATGCTTAGGTTTGTCAGTGTGTAACAGTATTTATTCTGCATCAGACTGATGTGTTTCTCATGTGTGTGTGTGTGTGTGTGTGTGAGTGTGGTGTGTGTATCAGACTGATGTGTTTCTTATGTGTGTGTGTGTGTGTGTGTGGACGCAAACCTGCTCTAACAACAAGTTACACTAAATTACAAAGGGATAGCTTTTATTCACAATTGTCATTCTTTATTTTAAACTAAACTGGGATAGTCAGTTAATGTTTACAACTTTATTTCATCTGTTTAAAGTGTGATTTGAAACAGAACAGTCTTATTTAAAGAGCACACTGACCATTTAATGAAGTAAATTTAGAAGAAAAATAGTCTGTCAAAGCTTTGTTACTAAAAATTACATGGGGTGTGATTGAGGAAGTGTAAAAAAAACGTGAGAAAGTTCTAAAGAAACCAAGTTTAACTCACAGACTAATAACAGTCACAGACTCTGAGTTACAGTTTCTGCAAGAAAACTTCAAGACTTTCCCTTCAGATGTTTACAGATATCTGTTTCCATGAAACCTCCAAGATCTGTCCTTTTATTCACTTCTTTAAAGTTTATGTAGTTTCTCCTTTTAACTACTGAATGCACACAGTTGTCACAAATGCCTTCTAACTTTTAGGAAACTTTTCAATGATTAAAGCACATCAGTGAGTAAAAAGTAAAGATGAGCGTGCAGCACGTTTCGTCACTGACGAGGAAGTTAAGAGAATATACAGTAACGTTGCCATTTTTGGAGGTGACAAGATTAGCTCCTGTGCCTGACTGAAAATCTGCCCAGCAAACCAACAACTTCTGTGATCTCACTGCTGTAAACACCAAGATTCTTTGTTTCACTTTAACTTTCTGTGGGCCTTTTCTTTCGTTCACACTTCAAAAACAACATTTACAACTCAACAGAGATGACACTTTATTATGGGTTAAAACCATATCATTTAAAACTAACTTCCTGTTTATGTTTCGTACGATATATCTCTTGATCAAGATGATCCTAACACAAAAAACGATTCATTCAAACAGTTCTACAGTCACTTTTCAAACACTTAAACTAAATTTCATGTTTCASTTCTGTCAGATGAAGAAACTAACAGCTTCTTGCAGACGTGAGATTCAACCCTGGAAAACTAAACGCTGTGTGAGCCGGTTACTGTAAAAATAGCATAGTAGCTTTAGAGGGAAAACAATATGCAGCGATGCGCAGAGAAACTTCCTGTTAACGTGTGCAAAAAAAAGAAGAAGAAAAAGGAGGAGGAAGAGAAGAAGAGTCAGTTCAGAGCTGAAAGGCTGAGCAGATGAGGGAAACGAGTGGGAGATTTTAGATTTWGGTAAGATTTGATTTTTTTTAATGCTCTTAATGACTGTAAAAACAAYGCTTTTTATTTTCTAAGAATCTGTCTAAACTGTATTTTGTTACATTTTATTGACAATATCTGAACTGGGTTATTTTAAAGG